GATTTGTCTCGTTCAGACTGTCATAAAAAATCGGATATGAGTCAGATGGGTCAAAAAAATCGGATTTGGGTCAGATTTGCCTGCAGTGTGAACGTAGCCTTACTCTTTAGCTAGCTTTTTAGCCTTTAGCCATTGTTTGCTTGTTTTGTCTTTTGCTCATGTTTTAGTTTTAGCTTCTTCAGCAAACATCATAGCCTGGCCCTTGCCTTCCTATGCAGCTCCACTCAATTCTAGTTTCCCTTCTCTGCTCCGTCTGGGACTTCTATCATTGACAAGGATTTCGCTGGCAGATTTTTAGCCGGGCCAATCAGAGRASAGGATGTCAATTTCCTGCGCAGTGTCTGCTTGTAGTTTATTTTACCTGGGCCAATCAGCAATCAGAAGGCAGAGTTTTGAACGACGTCAATTTTCTGCGCAGTGTCTGCTAGTTATTTTAGCATACAGCAGTGGAGGAAGTGAATGAAGCCAGTCCGTGTTGATAAGGCTTCCAAATTAAAATAAATTTGTCTGACAAAGCAGCAGCTCTCATTTACAGTCGTCTCGTTTGGCTCGGTATAATTCTCCTCTCAGTAGGGTTGTTTACAGCACACGCGATTTCCGTTTAGCTTCTTAGCTTAGCCTCCTTCACAGCGACRGACGTCGCAGCCAACTGATCCAATCATTTTAAACTTCAGCAGAGGCCACGCCTCCTGCAAGAAACGCTTCTCTATTCAGCAAGTCCAGACCCTTGTACGAAGTAGTGACGGGATAAATGGCTCTCTGAAGGGATCCAGATCTTGGGGAGCCGTTTGTTTCATAGAGCCGTTCAAAAGAGCCGTTCAATTTTGAAGGTATTACGTCATCACGTAGGGAAATAAGTCATCACGTAGTCGTACGTAATGACGTAATCCCGTCACATGGGTGGAACCATGGCTGTGTCCAAAACGGCAGGCCGAGTCCTCCGAAGGCCGAATTTGTCGGCCGCATACGTCACAGCGACGCGACGAAGGACGTCCCAAACCGAAGACTCCTCCGATGCGGCCGACAAATGCGTCCTTCCTTTTCCCCGATTTGAAGGACAGGTCTGATGAATCCTTCCCGGCCCACCATATCCCATAATGCATTGCGGCCCGACCGGAGATTTTTTTTAAGCTAATAATGGCGGACAAAGCGAGAGAAAAGAATACGTTTTACATAAAAATATGGCGATATAAAAATGAAATTTTTTAGCGGTTGTAATTCTAATACTTAATCGTTTGTGTAGATGTGTTTTTAAATATTATTTTTGTCATAAAAAACGCGAAATAAACATGCACCTACAGCGGGTCAATTAATTCTTCAAATGTTACCTTTAAGTTAATTTTACTGTTTTGTTTTATTAATAATGCTAATATATTGATATTTTTCTATTTTTGATCTATTTTTGCTCCTCTTTAGCATCGTCATGGTTGTTAGGTGACATGACGTACGTCTGGGTGGAGGGGAGGCTAGAACGTCCAGATTCACAGCCTCTTTTTTTCCGGTCTTCCAAAGACCCGGCCCACCTCGACAGGGTAGTCTGGATCCTCCGGAAGACCCAGCCTGTCATTTTGGACACAGCCCACAACTCCATCTGTTTTCCGTGAAAAAGCATAGCGGGAGTGATATAAATATGAAAAAAATAAAGATTATATGAGAAATAAAACTACAAATGGCTCGTTACTGCCCACGATTCGGCTCCTATCGTTCGTTGTAAAGCGCCGTTCAAAAGACTCGGATCGTTCATGAACGTCAAATCTCTTGTACGAAGCAAAGTAAAGGACAGGGTCTGGTTTAAACCAGGCTACAAACATCAGTATTCATACTAGGGTTGGGCATAATCGTATCGTGTGCAATTAATCGTCAGAAAAACATTAATCGATTACTTTTTGGCACTTGACAWTWAATAMGATTAATGCCACCAGGCAGAGTCCRGTCAGAGCTCCTCTCTGCTTCAAACATGAGGAACATTAAAATAAAGTTCTGTAATTTATATATCCATCAACACAATTTAAAATYTGATGYACAGTTTAACCTGAAGTCTGTAATTTTGACACAGTTTGGAACAGATTTTTATGAWGAGCAAATCTTTCCCACTAAATTAGTCATGCGACAAGGACATAAGGGTGTCCAGGGACTCCAGAGGATTAATCGTCAAATTAATCGTTATCGGCTAAATACCACAATTAATCGTGATTATTTTTTGCCAATCTTGCCCAACCCTAATTCATGCAGAATTTTCATAGAAATTAAAATGTCTCTGGTTTGTGTTTGGAATCTGTTGTCACTCTGGATGAAAGTTGTTTTAACCAATTTAAAGACAAAAGCAGCTTACTTTTTAGTAACTTCAATGAAACATAAATTATATTTGTGTTCCTGCAGAAAAGCACGGTTATGGTTACACAAAATCACGTTGACTTGTTACACTTCTCGTCTATGAACTGATTTACATTGGCTCCTAAATAAGAACTAACGTGTGTTTATTAAATAATATGGAATGTATCTTTTTAGTTGTCGTTGTTTCAAATACGGGACAATTCCTTATTAACGAGACAGTTTTGTGGCTGACTCTGTAGCAAGCAGACTAAACACGTAGCCTACCTGTCAAAGCTTTTACTTGTTACATATTTACAAGTTGGACATTTATTACCTTTCGGGTTTACAAACTGCCTGAAGTTCAGCTCAACAAATGAAAACTCATGCTGTCAGGAAACTTGCTGCTTTGTTCGACCTGCATGCCATGCTAAATCACGGGAGCAGCCATGTTTTTTTAGAGAGAGACACTACGGAAGCCCGCGAGGCTAGGTTGCCAGAGAGGCAGTTTAAATGAATGTTTTATTATTATTATTATTATTATTATTATTATTATTATTATTATTATTATTATTATTATTATTATTATTATTATTGTGTTAATGTAAAAGGTGTAAGTTTTTATTACTGAGCACGCGCGCAGGAGAGAGGAGGTGTCTGGCTAGTTATATATCTGGCAACAGAGGTAAGTCTGCTTGTCAAAGCAGAGGGCTGTTWGGGCAAGCCAGTTTATCATATAAACATTGGGCTGTTCAGGACAAACCTTCAAAAAAACTTCACAGACAAAATAAACATCTCAGCGATGACCATTTCAGATTATCTCAAACCCCACATAATACWGATTACAGTTTTCTCGTGTAATGATCTTTCAGATGTAGATATCCAAAAGTATTTTCTTCTTATCTAAAAATACATATTGTGAACAGTGAAAATAATACTTATACTATGAAAATCTCACATCTAAAAAATTTTTCAGTCTTAAGTTACCATTTAAATGTCTTAGATGGAATAATATCTTTGATATTATTCAGGAATAAAAACATTTTAATTAATAAAAATATCAAGAAGGAGATCCAGCATTTATAGAACAAGTTAATAGTAATTCCACACATCTAAAATCAGTATACTGGTGAGGGCTGCATGATATCAGGAAAACKYGTGATGTGCAACAACAATGCTTAATATTGCAATGATGACATTGCGCTAAATAAATAAATGTGTGAAGTGTTGATGTCTTTCTGTTCTGCTCAAAGCAACAAACAAACCAAAAAACTTAATACATCMTTTCCAACATGACTGTTTCATTTTTAAAAAGTCCAATACAGTTTGTTTGACTATTGTGCAGCCCTAATACTGGCTAAAAACAATGTAACTACGAGTGAGAGGCGATCAGTTTAAATAATATCTGACTCAATCCTCACAAATGAGAGTTTTTCATGGTAAGAAATGTATTTTTCAGATGTTTATGTGTTTAAAATGAAAACCCAAAACATGAATGGGAAAAGTKATGTTATTCATCCAGGAATGGTGGCATTTGAGAAATGTTGATTGCGAACTGGAAGACAGATTATGTATAAAATGCATCTTTTCATGGAATGACTGTTTATGGAAACCTGAAATTAAAATGTAATAATAAGTGTTATTTTAGATATCTTCAGTTTAACTTGACTTGTAAGAATTAGGCGAACCTTTGCTTTTTTTAAAAAAAAAAAGTAGGATTGTGTTTGATTATATGTTACAACTGTCTGCCATACAGAGTACTTGGGCGTCAATTAAATGATCATGTGACTTAAAATGATCCATCTTTCAACAATGAGCTGTCCTGATTTCCCCTCAGCAAATGTGGGGGCAAAACATATGTTTGCTTTCATCAGTGATAATTTAATATCACCTTAATGAAGAAACAGAAATCTGGTTTTATGGTGTTTGGAAATTTAAATATCCTAACAAAAGGAGACTAAAGCAGATCAGACTCTTATTTGCTTGTTTCATTCATTTTAACCTTCTGATTATATGTTTTATTCATAACTGGTTGATAGACAGTTTTATTTGTCAAAAAAGACAGTTTCATGAATTAGGCCTAATGATTATGAAAATAAWTTATTTGAACTTTTCATTTGACAAAATAACCAGACGACAAATTCACTTGTTTCAGCAAAATGACTAATTTGAAACTCTTTTTGTGGTAAACTAGAAACACAATTTCAATTTGAGATGCAAAAAAGTTTCATATTAAATTTAAAATGCTTACATTTCAGCTCAGTGTGTGTTTCGAATAAATGCAGTTGGAGGTTTTATTTTTTCAATGCAGTGTGTTCTTTATAATAATTTTGCACAAAGTTGAAAGTCAGGACATCTCCACAAAGCATCAACCTCTCACTGCCCAAGAATTTGCACATGGGCCTCTTTCAAAATAACTCACCAACCAACCTGGAAAATTCACCAGAGACCATGTCAAGAAYGCCCAAGAGTCGACACAATTGTTTGACAAAAATATCTGATGGTGAATTTTTGTTGAAAATGGGTAAAAAAAAAGAAGTTGTTGACAAATGGCGCTGCAGTTCAATGTTATTTCATGGAGTAATTTATAAACCTAAGACCAGAAGTCAATCTTTTTTGCTGCAGCCGTTGGTTTTGAATCCTGGAACTTAAATAAACAGTGCTGCAGCAATTAGCCTTTCTATATTTTTTTTCCATCCTGTAGTTCTCAATTTTAGTTCTTGAAAAAGTCTCACAATATGCCAGAGCATCAAACCCACAGCAAAGCATGGCAGCAGCAGAATCATGCTATGTGAGGGAAAAACATCATTTCATTCAAATTCAAATATTTTATTGATCACAGAGGGAAATTAGGTGTTGTAACTCATTAAACTTATTTGGTGATGGCTGTGGGCAGGAAAGATCTTCTATATTCTGTTTGACAACAAAACTGAAGAAGCCTCCGACTGAAGACACTCTGTTTTTCTATGACAGTCTGATGAAGAGGATGGTCAGGGTTGTCCACAATGTTCTTGATTTTATGTAAAATCCTTTTTTGCACCATCATCTCCAGAGATTAGTCATCCCCAGAACAGAACCAGCCTTCTTTATCAGGTTGTTTATCCTTTTTAGGTCCCTGGCTCTGATGCTGCTGCCCCAACAGATGACGGCAGAAGAGATGACGCTCTCAACAACAGACTTATAGAAGATCTGCAGCACAAACAACAAACAAAATGTTTGTGGATTAAATAAAGGCTAAGAAAACATGTTGCAGTCTTTTAGACCAGTGGTCCCCAAACTTTTTATCCTCTGACCCACAAAATATCCATGGCAAAAACTTGTGACCCCAAATATTACTGGTCCGAGTACACGAACTTCATTAATAACCCTAAAAACACAGGCTTTCTGACAATCTAAACAGCTTGTACACAAATATAAATACTTATTTTTACTTATTTTGTGTTTTTGTAATAGTGATAGGGAAAATATTACATCAGCAATTATTTTATTASCCTTTAAATTGATTTCTGGAGATTATCCAAGGTGCTTCATGACCCATAATTGGGTCCCAAGCCCAACTTTGGGAACCAAAGTGCAGTGGTTCCCAAACTTTTCAGCTTTTGACCCACAAAATAACAGTAGCAGAGACCTGTGCCCCCAACTATTTTTGTATGATAAACATCAGGTCAACTAAACACGGACATAGTAACAATGTTTTTTATACTACATTTATCCATTTTAAATACACTAACCTCACTCCTTTGTAACAACTAAGACAAAAATGTAATTAATTCAGGAAATCTTTTCAAGACCCCACCTTGATGTTTCGGGACCCCACTTTGGGTCCCGACCCCAACTTTGGGAAACACTGTTTTAGAYGACTGAAGATGTTTAATCATTATTGAATCAGCAGCCATTCACTTTCGTTGTACAGACGTGCAATGAAAATAAAGACTATTCTATTCTATTCTATTCTATTCTATTCTATTCTATTCTATTCTGTAGATACTCCTAAAGCAGGTTTTGTGTTGGTTTCTGTTGAGTTTAACTTGTTTATCTTTACAATTCTTAATAATAATAAAATTCAGTGTTTTCTGTTTTATTATAAATAAATATACGTTTTTATTTTATTCTTATTCTCTTTTTACTGTTTAGTTTTAATGTGACTTGTCTGTGTTTTTATTCTCAAAGAGAATTGCACCTCAGATGTTKCCATGTTAGTGAAAATAAAAAATCAGATTTTTTTTCTTATGTTTTGTTATTTATTAGTTTTTAGCTGGAMAATAAAGCAACTTCATCTTAGCCAGCCACTGTTTGATTGAAAACGTTAAATTAGCTCTATATTAAATAAAATGAAACTTTTTCAGATGGTCTTTTTATTAGATATAGCCTATTATAAAGTGTGCAGCTTTAAAAGAAAAAGGAAATTAAACCCTGACCTCTTGATATTTCAGCTTCAGTTTTTCAGACCCATCCTTAAAAAAAGGATATTTGTGATCAGTATTATAATCTCATCCCACTCTTGTTCACTGATTTGGTTCCAGTTCCCTTAAAGCGGGATGCAGATTGGGGGATTTGACTCTGCTGTGTGCCCATTTGCGCACAGACCTGAACATCTGGATGGGGGCGCTGTGACAATGAGTGCCCAGAGTAGCGTGGCGCTATACATCTGACACAGGAGAATTATAGAGTTAACAGTATTTGGCATGACAGGGAGAGGGAGCGGGGAGCCGTGAGTGCAGTCTCATCCTGTTTGGCAATCACTGTGCGCAGCGCCTGGAGGCCCCGGAGGGCTCACCTGCCCGGAGTCTATGGCACACACATACACGCACGCACACACGCACACACACAGAAGACAGCTGGATTAAACCTCCAGCACCTGGCTTCCACAGTCTTTTTATTTTATTTTTTAATTATCTATAGCTGCTGGGCTGGGCAAGAGAGGGGATCGCTTCCACGACACCCCCCCCCGCGGTGAGTGACTGGTGGGTGGGGCTCAGACAGACAGTCGGGTCGGCTGGGGACGCTCCGCTGTGCGCGCGGCGCGTGCACGGGCTCACATCCTCTTCATCCTGCAAAAGTAATCCAATTACTTAACTACTTTTTTTTAGAGTTACATTGATCAACTCGTTCCCGCCAAAAATTCTTTCACTTTAGCGATAAAAAAAAAAAAACGCATTTTCGGGGGCGCGCGCAGGTGTGGGGCGGGGTGGGGGTATTTTTAAAACTTTGCAGATTTTGTTATCTGCAGGAGATAACATGCATCAACCTGTGATAAGACTAGGCTAATGATGGGAACTAGTAGATAATCACAAAGTAGCCTATTGATCCTGGAAGTGGCTGTTCCTTTCTTTACAACGGGTCTATTGAGCAAATAATAATCTTTCCTTTATCAATCATCCATCTGTCAGACCAACCAGTGGCTGGGATCTTGATCTGTCTGCAACCCCTGAGGATTATTAAAAAAAAAGAAAGGAAAAGAAAACTCCGCGCTTTGCTCCTGTTATATGGAAGTCTATTTCTGCCACGTTGAAGAAAGAAAACCCCTCAAAGGCGTAATTACTATACTATCTTAAAACTATTACTTATCTTCTCAGAATTATACACAATCAAAAAAAACCTGATGCATTACGATAGCTCCTAAATATGAGATGTCATAGTTATGACTTTATACCACAAAATTTAACTGTGTATGTTATATTTATGAAGTCACATATTTCAATCAGTTATGATTTAATATCTCATAGATGAGACGTGGCATCTTATTTGTGACTTAACAGTTTGGAAATTGCAACTTTGTATCATGTTCATAACTTAGAACCATAAAATTGTCAGCCTAATAGCATAATTGCCTAAGTCATTTTTGGCCAAATATGACTTAAGTAATTATGCTAATAACAAAATGACGACTCAGCAACTCCTGAATAACATCTTCAATTTATAGCTTGCATTTTCACCTTATGTGTCTCATCATTGTACATTAGAATGATTTAATGATACCCAGCATCGAATAAATGACTTAGCATCTCATAAATATGACATAATAACTTATTATGATTTGACATTTCATAATTATGACCTAATATCTTCAAAATATAACGTACCATTCTATAAATAGTGCTTAACATTACATAATGGGATTGCTGAGGAGGAGTGGTTAGGGGGAGTTGTCCCAAAACCAGAAGGTCACCGGTTCAATCCCCCAATTCCAGCTGTCTCAGTCGTTGTGTCCTTGGGCAAGACACTTCACCTGCCTTGCCTATGGTGGTCAGAGGGTCTGGTGGTGCCAGTGCATGGCAGGCCCACCTCTGTCAGTGTGCCCCAGGGCAGCTGTGGCTACAGTGTAGCTTACCACCATCAGTGTGTGAATGTGTGAGTTAATGTAAGTGTAAAGAGCTTTGGGGTCCGGGGGGACTTGATAAAACACTGTAAGTTCAGTCCATTTGCCATTTGCTAGGGATGCACTATATATCGGCACTAATATTGATATCAGTTGATATTGGTCATTTTTTAAAAAAATATTGGTATCGGTCCAGTATGTAAAACTAGGCTGATATTAATTATCCAATACTGATTTCACACTTTTTAGCTTTATGTTTCTGTTTTGGGAGTGGAGAGGGTTGGTTGAGCAGCATCTGTTTGATCATAATAGTGAAATTGATGCTGAACAACCAGGAATACTTGAAGAAGGGAGCCATGTCAGAGGTATGATTGTTTATTTATGGTATCAAAAAAAGACCCAAGTGTGTTTGTGCATATATGTATAATATAATTTTTCTGTTTGTGTAATATCAGTAAATATCGGTTATCGGCCATAACAGCAATAATTATCGGATATCGATATCGGCTGAAATTTTCATATTGATACATCCATACCATTTACCGTAATTAGGACTAAGTACCTCATCGTATAATTATAACATAGTATCTAAATATTGCTCAATATTACTGAAAATGTAACTATGGCCTAACATCTCAATGATGACAAAATTTCTCAAGCATTTCCATTTGAAGTGACACATAATTGTGACCCATCATTTCGAAAAATTTGGTCAAAATGATCTAACTACATTTTCAGATTCTGGGCTTTAAAAGCTACAATTTGATACCTGGATCATTCCGATATCATAAGCGTGTCCATAGATATGACTCAATTTGTCTTGTTGGTTACGATAATACATTACTGTTTAGTCTGAATCCTAATTTTACATACATTTATTGAGTAATTTTTGATGTTAATATAAAGAGTAAACCTCAAATATTATTTTTTATATTAAGATTAGTTGGAAAGAAACAAAGACATTGCTAGCTCACAGGGGTAAAAAATTTTAAGGCGTTTTTCCTCAAAAACAGGTTTTCTGTTGCTACTGCTAAAAAATGCTTCAAAAAAATTTTAGGATTATATTTCAGACAGTTCATTCAAATGATACATTTGGCATTAATTCATTATATTTTGACAAAATGCAATTTTTGCACACCTTTAAATCAAAACCCTATATCTGCCTATTTCTCCACATTCCAYTTTTGGACTTAATCCTCATTTCGATGTGATGGGTCACAATTATGACTTAGAATCATGAAATGTTGAATCAGCATATCATAAAACCCAACGTGTATATTTTAATATAAATATGGACTAATATCTTATAAAGATGACCTAATAGTTCATAAATTTGTCTGAGCATGTTATAATTATGGCCCAAAAATGACTGTGCATTCTGTAACAATGACTTATCTTCCAATGATGAGATAGTAATGATCAGATCAGCTCTGTCATATTTATAAGATACTTGTGCTAAGATACTGAGTATTTCTTTAATGAAAGTGACGGAAACGGGCTTCCATATCTGTCCCCCCCCCCTCTCCTCCTCGATAGCTCTGAGCTCCTGTCCTCGCCTGCATGTGGGTCTGTGAGCTGGTTCTCTCAGCCTACAGTGAATGACTGACTGACTGTCTGTGGCGAGGCGGAGGGAGACAYTACACCGCTCCTTCTGCTTCTTCCTCCGCTGCTGCGTCGCTCCAGCGCTGAAGACGACTTCCAGCCGAGGGGGTGAGTTTACTTCGAACAAGTCCGGTCGCCTCGCGCAGCTGTTCGGACTCAGCCGGTGGGACGGCTCGGTGTCTGGTTGTTCTGCTCCTGCACGGTGTGTGCGGTGTTTGCTGCCCGAATTTAGACGAGTTTAGGTGTAGTCTCTAGGTGGAAGATATATATTAATATTATTTTTTTTTTTGAAGTGGGGGGTAATCTGTTAACTTTAAGGGGGATGGGCACATGATGATGGGACAGACCAAACTTTAACCACTTCACACTTCTTCAGCGCTGGCTGCCTGCTTCTCCTCTTCCCCCCTTTTCTCTCTTTTTCGACCAATGACTTCGTAAATTCTCGCCTCATCTTTCTCCCGCATTCCTAACTTTAACCCCCACCCCCCCCCACCCTCTCCGTGTCTCTCCACCAGTGGTCTTCTTTTTAAGCCGAGTCTTTGCGTCAGAAAATCGGGTCCTCTCGCCATGCCGCCAATCCGTCCCTCCGTCTCGCCCCCCAGCCGCAGCTCATTTTGTGTCCCGGGATGACCTGTTGATGTCGGCTAAAGATGGAGTGCCAAGAGCCGATGTAGACCCCAGTATTCTCCTCTCGGTTTAAAACAAATGCGTTATAGACATTCAGAATGAGAGTTCAGCCAAAAGTTGTCCCGTGTGTGTGTGTCTGGCCGAGACCGCTCATTTCGTGGAGATGTTATAAATAATTTATTGTAAGCGACATCTTGGAGAGAGGAACGACGACCCCGCAGCTAGCTGCCATTCTGGCCGGCGGAGGAGGAGGAGGGTATTTCAGCGTGGACGGACATCACGTCTCCACGTTTTCTCCACTGATTTTTCTGCTCATTTTAATGGCGTTTCGGGCAAGTTTAACACATCCGAGGACGAGGCGAGCGCCCCTCTCCTCTCCTTTTATTTTGTCCCCCTCTTCCTGTTGAACTCGGCCCGGGCCAAGCCGCGCCGAGCAACTCCCAAATCCCTACCGGGGGGCATCGAGGCTGGCACTCGGCGGGGGCACCGAGCGCTATCCGGCCGCCCCGACTGCCCTCCTTTCCCCCGCTGCCGGATTCGTTCTCCTCTCGCCGAGGTGACTTGCCAGCGAGACATCGACTCTGCTAGACTTTCATGTGAGATTCATTGATGTATAATTAATGTAAGTGAAAATACGTCTTTTTTTTTTTTTAAGTTTCAGCCTCGGTGGTGTTGAAGCAGGGAAGCTATGAGCCACATTGTGCTGCTCGCCTATCGTGTCCGTGAATGCGGCATTTTCAGCCGTCCGTAAACTTGCCCCAAGAGTTTACTTCCCGTCATGTAAAGCGCATTTGATACCTTCTTGTATCCATCAAAAATATTTTTACAAAGTTAGCTTTAGCTTTAGCCTGCTGTTCGCTAACACAGGCCACCTTAAACCCCACTAAACCAGGAAACAGATTTTGATWAGACAGTGATAAAGATGAAGTTCAGATTGTTGCCAACAAGCTGACTGCAAAGACAGTTACACACATGCACAGAGGCTGCCACACACAGTTGAACATTAAATCAAAGCATGTACTGGTGGGGGTGGGGGTGGGGGGGGGCACATGTTCACTGCAGGGCAAAGGTCAAGTGGTTTGAATTAACTCCCCCTTTATGTGTCTTGGAAGTTTTTGTGACCTCCGACCTGTGAGGAGGCAAGGGTGGCTRGTAGGATGTTGCAGGGAGCTGACATCAGTGCTGCTCAGTGTTTTAAAATGAAATTAATCATGCCGTCTAGTTGGGTGGAAGGAAAAAAAAAGGCTATATGTTTTGCAGCATGGTGTGTGAGCTGTRCATGTGAGTCTTTTTGCCATCAGGTAAGGTAAGGAGGTTATTTTGCAGCTTCATCTTTACCCTAAGAACTCTCAGCCTATTGTGCTGCACGTATTTACACCTGGACACAAAGCAGATGTTTACTATTGATTCTTGAGAAGTCCCTCTGGGACTGAGACCAGTCATTAAAAATCCAGATGTTAGGGGATAGTCAGTGTGTGTCATGGATTTCTAGAACCCAGATCTGTTTCCAGTAAATACTGCTGCAGATGTTAACTGACAAAAGTGTGGATTTGTTTAATTGTTCTGTGACATCGGTACACTTCGGGGTAGGGCTGCCACAAACGATTATTTTTATAATCGATTAATCACCGATTATTTTTTTCGATTAGTCAACTAATCGGATCATACATTAACTGAATATAAACCATACAGCTTATCGTGACAGAATGCAGCTGCTATTATACTATAACCATGGTTAGATTTTAGCTATATGCTAACTAAAAATAATTGCTGTGGAAGGCAAGTTCTGCTCTGCAGATATTGCACAGGTTTCTCTTTCATTTTCTTAAAATGATCCCACACTTTTGAGCTCCGTTGCTGGTTAGCCTTGATACCAGAGCCTGTCTGTATAATGTCTTGTGACGTCCACGGCCTACCTCAGTTACCACTACTGTGCATGTGTGTCAAGGACAGAAAGGCAGATGTGGCAGTGGAAGGTGTCAAAGCAGTTTGGAGAGAAAAACAAAGTAAAGAACAAAAAAAAGAAAATGATTAATCGATTATTAAATTAGTCATCAATTATTTTAATAATCAATTAGTCGTCGACTAATCGTGGCAGCCCTACTTCGGGGTAGGGTTGGGCAATATTGGCAAAAAAATTAATCACGATTAATTGGGGCATTTAGCCGATAACGATTAAATTGACAATTAATCCCTTGGAGTCCCTGGACACCCTCATGTCCTAGTCACATGACCAATTTAGTGGGAAAGATTTGCTCTTCATAAAATCTGTTCCAAATTGTGTCAAAATTACAGACTTCAGGCTATACATCAAATTATAAATTGTGTTGATAAATACAGTACAGGACTTTTTAAAAAAATGTTCGTCATATTTGAAGCAGAGAGGAGTGGACTCTGCCTGGTGGCATTAATCATATTATCGTCAAGTGCTAAAAAAATAATCGATTAATGTTTTTCTGATGATTAATTGCACACAATATGATTATGCCCAACCCTACTTCGGGGGGAAATGTGTTGCATTCACACCTGATACATTTGGTCCGTTTGAAACGGACCACAGTTTGTTTACCCCCGTTGGTTCGGACCTTTTATGCAGGTGTGACTRCACTCATGTGAACCCTGGTGCAGATCAAACAACTGGACTGAGACCCATTTTTGGGGTGGTCTCGGTCCACTTCCAAATGAACTCTGGTGTGGTTTGCTTCTGGTGTGCATACAGACGGGCCTYGAACYGAACCAACAGGAAACATGCCTTTTTGGACTTCATGAGTCACCATTGCTAAGCAAAATTAGCCTTCAGTGTTGCTAAAGCTAACACTGTGATAAAAAAAATGAGCCATCGTGGGTCAGAGAACGCAGAGCATCTTTTCTCCCTTAGGTTGCAGCACCATCTTTTTTCTGGTTCTGTGCTCTGCCCCCGCCCCCCTTTATGATTTCTGTCCATTGGAAGCAATAACCATCACCTGCATGGCTTTATAAATTATAGTCTATTTGCAAAATGCACTGGTATAGGGTTTATTTCAAAGAAACATTGTTACAACAAAGAAATAATGTACCAAACACTAATTTCATTACTTTTTGTGCTAATTGTATATACTAACTGTAAAACCACATTAATGTGTCACGACCCACATAGCAAAGTTTGTTGGCCCAGTTCTGGTACACACAATGTACTGACACTCGGCTCAGATACCTCAGAAGGACCTTTTGCACTGCAAGACCTGGCCCTGGTTGGCTTGGGTCAACCATCCCAGCTGTTATGGCCCAGTTCCACCCCAATTTTTATAACACCAAGACCTGTGGTTCTATCCAGGCCGGTCTGCTTGGCCCAATTTGACGTCAACTAATGCTGCTCATTAGTTCTGCGAGTAGGGGAGGGGGTTACGTCACACGTGAATCGTTTGCAGTGACTGTAACATTTAAAAACTTTTTTTTACACAGTTAAACTGATCAGCAGCAGTAGCATGCTACCAACAACAACAAGCTAACAACAAGCTATCATCAGCTTATCATTTTCTGTCGTCCTGCCCTCTTGTCTGAAGCGTCGTACTGCTGGATAGTCCAATACAGTCTTTGGTAGTTTTCCTTTGAGTTTTGTTCAGTCCGTTATTGCTGTATCACAAATGAAATAAGATTTGCATGTATTTACTGTCATATYGCCCACATCGAGATGGCCCTTTACTCAATGCAAACATAACCGGGACTGGGGTAGAATAAGGCCGGGTCAACTGTAGTCGGGGTGGGCCAGACCTTACAATGCAAAAATGCCTAAAGTCTAATGGCCCAGATGTTGTTTGCCAGAGGTGGTACACGCATGGGCTAACACACTACATTAACCAAACCAGAACCGGGCCAGTTGTGTGACAGATTTCGGCCACATAAACCCAGTGTTGTAAAAAGTACATCAAAGTGATAATTGAGTAAAGCATAAGTATCTTATCATGAAATTACTTTGGTAAAAGTTAAAGTCTCCTCTAAGAATATTACTTGAGTATAAGTCTTAAACTGATTTTTTTTTTTGTATTTAAGTATCAAAAGTACATTTCTGACATAAAATGTACATAAGTATTAAAAGTATTGAGTAAAAATGAGCGGTTAGATTTTCCAATATCTAACAGCTAAGAGGTGACCTCTCCAAAAAATATTTTTTCTAAAGGCATGCAGCTATGATGTAGTGTGTACAAACTAATACTGTATGTGTCAGTGTGTATATATTTATAATTCTCATCCAGCTTCAATTAACCCAGAATGTACAGGATAGTATTTTCTTTAACAATAACAAGCCGGAATGAAACAAAAGTAACAACATTCTACTTCTTACATTTTTGGAGTAGTATTTAAGGAGTAGAAAGTACAGATAATTGTATAAAAATGTAAAGAGTAGAATTAAAAAGTCATCTGAAAAAATAATTACTCAAGCAAAGCACAGATAACCAAAACTTCTACTTAAGTACAGTAACAAAGTATTTGTACTTAGTTACTACACAACTCTACACAATCCAAACCACAACTGGGCCAGTTGTGGCATGCCAGCTTAAAAACAGTACCATCGTTGCCAGACCTGGCCCATATGCAGCTGATAAACCACTTACCAAGCCAGCAGTGTCATCTTGACACCAGATCTGGTCCACGCAGTCTGCTACATGGAGACAAACCATAACATCCACTTTGCAACAGTATAATAAAATATAAAATATAGTTTTATTTGGATATGTTGCTTGAAATCCCAATTTAATCATCTATCTTTGATCTTGATTGCTGCTGTGCTATCCAGAACTGGCTTTTTAGTTTATTGTTTTCACAGCTTCTCATATAATTGTTACTCACGGGAAAAACAGATGTCTTGGGGACAAGTTGAACTACTCTTTTCATTGAGTTTCCTTTGACAGCCTCCATAAATACTGTTAACCCAGAGTCACATTTAGCTGTGTAGATAAATAGCAGTACAGCATTGCAAAATGGTTAAAAATGAAAAGAAAACTTAAGGAAATGGGTGGCTGTCTAGTTATGAGTAGACAGCTTAATGATTTTTTTTTCCACAGCCCCCGAAACACCCCCTCCCTCCAGCTCCTTTCCGGCTGTACCGTGCTTACAATAATTAATTACTGTAAACTTGAAAATTAATTTAATAAAATGCTGATGGCCCTCTATTCTCAGTGCTGTCCTTACGTAGGCGTAAAGCAGTAGATCAGGACTGCTTTAGTCCACTTTTTTTTTCTTCTGTTATTTTTTTTCTTTCAGCATTTATTTTTCTGCTGGGGAAGCTTTGCTGAGCAGGCATGCCAGAGCACTCTGCCTCACATTCATACCTGGAAACTTCCCAATTACAACCACTATCTTCAGTCGTTAGCCAAGGTGCAGCTCCCTCTGAAGGAGTTAAAGGAAAATATCTTTGTAATGTTCATAGTTTGAGACATTTTTCACCAAGTATTAAGTTCTGGWTTTGTTCATCTCAGATTGTCAGAGCCTGTCTTATGTTAGCTTTACAGACAGTTTTCTGCATTTAGGCTACGGGGTGCTCTATGTAATGAAAGGTTTGCAACCTGAGTCGTCATCTTTTACTTTCAGAATTTGTTTAGATTAYGTTAAAAGCAGATTGCCACTCTGCAAAATGCTGCAGTGACTCTGGTTATGCCGAAACCTGAATCTCTGCCTCTTACCACTTTTGGAGTGTTTCTGTAAGGAGAGAGCTCTACAAATACTTTTGTGTTTTGAGGGAGCAGTAGATTTACTTCTAATGCTTCCCTCCTGTCTTCTAAAAGCTATAAAAACTATGTGGAGTGCCTGTTAAAGTTGGCTACATTTGCCCTGTTGCATGTTATACCATCAGATGGAGGAAAGTGAGGCATTTAAAAAAATCCTTATTTTTGATTTGTTTAATCTCTATAAATTTCCAGTGCACTTTGAAWATTTCACATTAACTGTCTCAGTTTTGGTGGTTGGAAATGTTTTCCTCTCAGCCACATTTTGCTGACTGGATTGTGTTTAACAAGCATTTTTGTKTGAAATATTCTTTAGAAAATGCTCTCAAACATCTAGATGAATTAGTTGACTTCATAAACTGACTTCATAAACCGCTGTGACGAAACTGCGGAGAAGACACGTCATCGTGGAGAGCCATTAACCAATATGCAAACTAGATACCGCATAGCGGTAACATAATGACCCCCGCACGCACAAATGCATCAGAACTAAGAAGTCTTTATTCCTAATAAATGTCATGCTACTAGGTGCATCCCAAAATTGTAGTGGTTTGGTTGGGGGGACTTTTGGG